TTTTCCTTTTTTTTGGGGGGGGGGGGGGGTTTTTGGGGGAAAAGGGGGGGCCCCCAAAAAAAGGGACCGGGGTTTTTTTTGGGGGGAAAAACCCCCCAAAAAAAATTGGGCCCCAAATAAGGAAATTTTTTTTTTTAAAAAAAAAATTTTCCTTTCCCCAATTTTTTTTTTTTTTGGGTTTTGGGTTTTTTTAAAAATTTTTTGGTTTAAAAAACCCCCCCCCGGGGGGGGGGGGGTTAAAAAAAAAGGGGGGGGGGGGGGGGGGAAAAAAGGGGGGGGGAAAAGGGGGGGGGGGGTTTTTTTTTGGGGGGGCCCCCAAAAAGGGGGGGGGGGGAAAAACCCCCAAAAAGGGGGGGGGGAAAAAAGGGGGAAAAAAAAAGGGGGGGGGGGGGAAAAAAAAAAGGGAAAAAAGGGGGGGGGGGGGGGGGGGGGGGGAAAAAGGGGGAAAAGGGGAAAGGGGGGGGGGGGGGGTTTGGGGAAAAAGGGGGGGGGAAAAAAAAAAAAAAAAAAAAAAAAATTTAAATTAAAGGGAAAAAAACCCCAAAAAAAAGGGGGAAAATTTTTTTTTTTCCCCCCCCCCTTTTTTTTCCCTTTCCCTTTTTTTTTTTTCCTCTTTTTTTTTCCCCCCTTTTTTTCCCCTTTTCCCCCCTTTTTTCCCTTTTTTTTTAAAGGTTTTTTTTTTTTTTCCCCCCCCTTTTTTTTTTAACCCCTCCCCCCTTTCCCCTTTTGGGGGGGAAAAATTTTAAATTTAAAAAAAACCCCCCCCTTTTTTTTTAAAAAAAAAAAAAAAAAAAATTTTAAAAGGGGGGGAATTTTTCCCCCAAAAAGGGTTTTTTTAAAAACCCCCTTTTTTTTTTCCCCCCCCCCCCTTTTTAAAAAACCCCTTAACCCCCCTTAACCAAAAACCCTTTTTCCCCCCTTTTTTTTTAAAACCCCCTTTTTTCCCCCGGGGGGGAAAATTTTGTTTTTTTTTTTTAACCCCCCTTTTTTTTAAAAACCCCCCCCCCGGAAAAAAACCCCTTTTCCCTTCCCCCCTAATGGGCCCCCCCTTTTTGTTTTAAAACCCCCTTTAAATTTTTCCCCCCCCAAATTTTTTTTTAAAAATTTTTTTTAAAAAAGGTGGGGAGGAGGGGGAGAGGGGAGGAGGAGGGGGGAGGAGGGGGGGGGGGGCAAAAAAAGAAGGGGAAAAGGGGAGGAGGGAGTAGGGGAGGGGGGAGATGGGAGATAGGGGAGGAGGGAAAGAAAAAGAGGAGAAGGGGGGGGGGGGAAAGAGAGGGGAGGAGGGAGGAACAGGAGGGGGGGAGGAGAGAGAGGGGGGAGGGGGGGGAGGAAAAAAAAAGGGAAGAAGAGGAGAAGGAGGGGAGGTGAGGAGAGAAACAGGAGGGGGGAAAAGGGGGGGGGGAGGCGAGGAAGAACAGGAAAGAGGGGAAGGAGGGGAGGTGAGGGGAACAGGAAAGAGGGGAGGGGGGGGACAAGGGGCATAGGGGAGATGATATTTATTGACAATCCATACTTTTTTAACAAGCCCCCTTTAAACAATACCATGATCCATACACTGTTTTAACAAGACCCCTTTAACACAATCCCAATGTGAAAAACATTTTAAAAAATACTCCAAAAAACCCCCTTTAACCCCAATCCCCACTGACCCCAACACGTTTAAAAAAGTACCCATTTTAACACAATCCCTACTGCCATACACTTTTTTTAACAAGCTACTCCACTTAAACAATACAAGATAAAACACTTTTTTAAAGCTACTCCATTTAACAAAATACCCCACCCATACCTTTTTAACAAGCTATCCATTTAACACAATCCCCATGATCATACACTTTTTTAACAAGTTTTATTTACAAAAAACCATGATCCATACAGTTTTAAAAGCACCCCATCTTAAACAATCCCCACTGACCCATACATGTTTTTAACAAGCACCCCATCTTAAAAACCCCACTGATCCTTTACACTGTTTTTTAAAACTACCCTTTTAACCAATCCCCATGATCAAACAGCAAGTATCCTTTTAAACCATCCACCCCCCTGTTTTAACAAGCTACCCCATCTAACACAATACCCACGATCCATACACGTTTAACGGGAAATCCATCAACCAAACCCAGATCCATACACTTTTTTTTAAAAGCTACTCCTTAACACAATACCCATGACCCATACACTGTTTTAAAAGTACCCCTTTAACACAATCCCCCTGACCCAAACATTTTTTAAACAAGCTACTCCATCTAACACAATACCCATGACCCATACCTGTTTTCACAAAGTACTCCATTTAAACAAAATATATGATCCCCCCACCTTTTTTTAACAAGCACTCCATTTAACAGAAACCCAGATCCATAACGTTTAACAAGCTACCCCATTTAACACAATCCCAGATCCATACATGTTTAACAGCTACTCCTTTAAAAACACAAACCCACACCAACATTTTTTAAAAGCACCCATTAACACAATCCCCCCTGACCCATACAGTTTTAACAAGTACTCCACTTAACAAATACCCACTGTCCTTTACACTGTTTTAACAAGCACCCATTTTAACCCAAATCCCACTGACCATACATTTTAAAAGCTACTCCATTTAAAACACAAACCCACGATCCATCCCTTTTCCAAGTATCCATTTTAACACAATCCCACTGACGCCACAGTTTTAACAAGACTCCATTTTAACCCAAAAACCCCAGACCTACACTTTTTTAACACACTCATTTATACAATAAACTGATCCTACATGTTTTAAAAGCTCCATCTTAACACAAACCATGATCCATCACTTTTTTAACAAGCTACTCCATCTAACACAATACCCATGACCCATCCCTTTTTAAAACAAGTATCCATTTAACAAAAACCCCCAGTCCATACCGTTTTAACAACTCTCCATTTTAAACAAATCCCCCTGATCCATAATTTTTAACAAAAGCTACTCCATTTAAAAACAATACCCATGATCCATACACTGTTTTAACAAGCTACTCCATCTTAACACAATACCCACTGATCCATACACTGTTTTAACAAGCTACTCCATCTTAACACAATACCCACTGATCCATACACTGTTTTAACAAGCTACTCCATCTTAACACAATACCCACTGATCCATACACTGTTTTCACAAGCTACTCCATCTTAACACAATACCTACTGATCGCCACACTGTTTTAACAAGCTACTCCATCTTAACAGAATACCCACTGATCCATACACTGTTTTAACAAGCTACTCCATCTTAACACAATACCCACTGATCCATACACTGTTTTAACAAGCTGCTTCATCACTGTTAGCTATAGCTGCCTTTAGGCTTCAGGCTGCCAAATGACACCCCATAGGGCCCTGGTCAAAAGTAATGCTATTCATTGACTACAGTTCAGCGTTCAACACCATAGTGCCCTCTAAGCTCATCACTAAGCTAAGGATCCTGGGACTAAACACCTCCCTCTGCAACTGGATCCTGGACTTCCTGACGGGCCGCCCCCAGGTGGTAAGGGTAGGTAACAACACATCTGCCACACTGATCCTCAACACGGGGGCCCCTCAGGGGTGCGTGCTCAGTCCCTTCCTGTACTCTCTGTTTACCCATGACTGCATGGCCAGGCACGACTCCAACACCATCATTAAGTTTGCCGACGACACAACAGTGGTAGGCCTGATCACCGACAACGATGAGACAGCCTATAGGGAGGAGGTCAGAGACCTGGCCGTGTGGTGCCAGGACAACAACCTCTCCCTCAACGTGACCAAGACAAAGGAGATGATTGTGGACTACAGGAAAAAAAAGAGGACTGAGCACGCCCCCATTCTCATCGATGGGGCTGTAGTGGAACAGGTTGAGAGCTTCAAGTTCCTTGGTGTCCACATCACCAACGAACTATCATGGTCCAAACACACCAAGACAGTCGTGAAGAGGGCACGACAAAGCCTATTCCCCCTCAGGAGACTGAAAAGATTTGGCATGGGTCCTCAGATCCTCAAAAAATTCTACAGCTGCACCATCGAGAGCATCCTGACTGGTTGCATCACCGCCTGGTATGGCAACTGCTTGGCCTCCGACCGCAAGGCACTACAGAGGGTAGTGCGTACGGCCCAGTACATCACTGGGGCCAAGCTTCCTGCCATCCAGGACCTCTATACCAGGCGGTGTCAGAGGAAGGCCCTCAAAATTGTCAAAGACTCCAGCCACCCTAGTCATAGACTGTTCTCTCTGCTACCGCACGGCAAGCGGTACCGGAGTGCCAAGTCTAGGTCCAAAAGACTTCTCAACAGCTTCTACCCCCAAGCCATAAGACTCCTGAACAGCTAATCATGGCTACCCGGACTATTTGCACTGCCCCCCCACCCCATCCTTTTTACGCTGCTGCTACTCTGTTAATTATTTATGTATAGTCACTTTAACTCTACCCACATGTACATATTACCTCAACTACCTCAACTAGCCGGTGCCCCCGCACATTGACTCTGCAACGGTACCCCCCTGTATATATAGCCTCCCTACTGTCACTTTATTTTACTTCTGCTCTTTTTTCTCTCAACACTTTTTTTGTTGTTGTTTTATTTTTACTTTTTTGTAAAAAATAAATGCACTGTTGGTTAAGGGCTGTAAGTAAGCATTTCACTGTAATGTCTGCACCTGTTGTATTTGGCGCATGTGACCAATACAATTTGATTTGATTTGATTTGATAAGAGGTATAGGGCACCATTTGGGGACTCTTTGTATTGTATCCTTATTGGGAAATCATGGAAATGGAAATAGCTAGTGAGTGTGACCTCATTTTGTTAGTCGACCATGATCTTCTCTTAACAGCTTCTGTCTAGGGTGCCATTTGAGGCACAGACTTTGTCTCTGTGAGAAATGTTTTGTTGGAAACATTATATATATATATATATATAGTCCTGATAGAGCAGGGGCTGTGTATCTGTCTCTGTCTGTCTATGGCCCTCTGTTGTAACCCAATGATGTTTTGTTTCATTTCTGTTGGCATAGTCGGCAGGATTGATCCATTGATTTCGGAATAAACACCACTTTCCCCACTCTCGTCCTCCCATCATACTGATAGAGTATACGATGTAAATGGTGGCATAGTACCCACCCATCTTTGATGAGGTAGTATTTGAGAGCCTGATCTGCCTTGGCGCTGGGGGTAGCAAAGCAGCTCTCCACCAGAGCTGCCAAACCCTCCACCTATAGTAAGTCGGGTACAAGTACAAGTAAAATTAGTACAATTAGTAAAGTGAGTCAAATTAGTAAAGTTAGTAAAAAAGTACAAGTAAAGTACAACATAACAAATTTGCCACATAAAAGTTGCTTATCGGAAAGCTTATCAAAAGCCTCACCCAAATCGAAATCTTAAATAGTCAAATAAACGCATTAGTCAACAAAGTAATGATCCACAAGTTAACTAGACTAACAAAAAAACAGAAGATATTTATTGATCCGTGATATGGAGAAAACAGAGATGTGGTTATTTGGGCTGTCACACTGGATGCATCCCAAATGGCACCCTATTCCCTATATAGCGCACTATATAGAATCTTAGAAAAAAAGGGGTTCTAAAGGGTTCTACCTGGAACCAAAAAAGGTTCCGGAAAGGGTTTTCCTATGGGGACAGCCGATGAACCCTTTTAGGTTCTAGATAGAACCTATTTGTAGGGCTTTGGTCAACGGTAGTGCACTATATAGGGAATAGGGTGCCATTCTCTGGTCAAAAGTAGTGCACTATATAGGGAATAGGGTGCCATTTGGGATTCAGCACCTTCTCCCTGGGTTCCACCCCGAAGAACAGTGAATCGTGTAGGCGTAGTTGGGGTGGAGTTCGGTAGGGCTCAGAGAATTCAGCACTCTTAAACAGCTCCAGAGAGAAGGGGAACAGGCCCTGGGAGTGACCTGCTAGCTCTAGGGCGGAGCTACGGAGACTGGCCTGGGATGGGAGAGAGAGAGAAATTAAATGACACCAACTTAATTTTAAAAATGCAATTTAAAGTCGCTCAAGCAACCTTTATAAATTACATTAGAACAAAATAGATAAAACAAACAAATAACAAGAAATAAAAGAAATAAAACATATAAACAAAAAAGACGTCTGATCTTGATTAACAATAAAATCGCTGATTAAAATACCAAGCTAAAAGGTGGTTTCCAAACATGATTTAAATGTTTGGCTGAAGGAAAGCCAATTGTTCCATAGCATTTTGTATGTTGGACTTTTATTTTGCATGTTGGACTTTTATTTTGAAATAAATGAGTATAAGAGGAAGTACTAAAAGGAAGCATTCAATCACCCTCTTACCTGGTAACCATCGGAGACCTCGTAGTGTCGTGGAAACTCACAGGTGACAGGTAACAGCAGTTTGGAGGTCCTGACAATCATATCCCGGTTACTACCTGACCACGGTCCTGGGCTGGACTTAGGAAGACCTGTCACCAGGTTGGTACCCACTATCTTGTCATCTGTCACCTGGGATGGGAATCAATCAATCAACCAATCATGTACTCCTGAGGTGGTGATCTGTTGCACCCTATACATGTATAACCACTATGATTACTATTTTGACCCTGCTATTAATCTATGAACGTTTGACAGTCTTGAAGAACGATCTGGCCTTAAATGGCCATGTGCTGGTCATATATGAACATTTGAACATTTCGAAGAACGATCTGGCCTTAAATGGCCATGTGCTGGTCATCTATGAACATTTGAATATTTTGAAGAACGATCTGGCCTTAAATGGCCATGTGCTGGTCATATATGAACGTTTGACAGTCTTGAAGAACGATCTGGCCTTAAATGGCCATGTGCTGGTCATCTATGAACGTTTGACAGTCTTGAAGAACGATCTGGCCTTAAATGGCCATGTGCTGGTCATACATGAACATTTGAATATTTTGAAGAACGATCTGGCCTAAATGGCTGTACTCTTCATTTCCACCGGCACAGCCAGAAGAGGACTGGCCACCCCTCGGATCCTGGTTCCTCTCTAGGTTTCTTCCTAGGTTCCTGCCTTTCTAGGGAGTTTTTCCTATCCACTGTGCTTCTATATCTGCATTGCTTGCTCTCTGGGGTTTTAGGCTGGGTTTCTGTAAAGCACTTTGTGACAATTGCTGATGTAAAAAGGGCTTTATAAAATACATGTGATGGAATCAATGGGATGGAATCAACACCCGAATGTTTAAGGCCGTAAATCAATTCCGGGTTTACCTTAAGCCCCTCTTACTGCTAGTATTTCACTTCAGTAGTAATACACTACATGATGTCATGAAAACAATAAAAGTAACTCTGTCTGTGGCCTCCGGGTATCGGTCAAAACTGATTCATCCAGAGTCGAAGGTGCCACAAAGAAGGTATTACCTCCACTATGGTGCCGCAGGTTTTGAGGCTGAAGCTGAACCTGTGTAAGGGCTTACTTACTTACTTACTTACTTTATTGTCCCCATGGGGAAATTTTGTTGCAGTGTCATGTACACATTTAAAGTGGCGTTAAATACAAAACAAGATTGACAATACAACTTTCAATAACAGTCACGCACCAATAAAAATAAGAAATAAGAAATAAAACATTTAAAACATTTAAAACAAAGACTAGCCTGCTGGCCTTACGGGGTCAATGGGAACATTTGCCCGAGCTATTTAAGAGGGATATCACACCTGGCACAAATGATTGTCTCGTTCTATTTTTCCTACTGAGGGGTGCCCTATACCTACGCCCAGAGGGGAGTAATTCAAAGTCCAGGTACAGGGGGTGACTTGGGTCTAAAATGATTTTGTGAGCCTTACGGAGGGCCCTGACCTTAAAGATCTCATCCAGGCCTGTCTGTTTGACTCCAAGTACCTTACTTGCTGTGGTAATAATCCTTCTCAGCATGTTTCTCTGACTGACAGTGGCATTGCCAAACCAACAAACAATACAAAAAGTTAAAATACTCTCAATAAAGGATTTGTAAAACAGAGTCAATATAGTACAGTCTATATTAAAAGAACCCAACTTTTTTAGAAAATACAGTCTCTGTTGGCTCTTTTTGTAGATCTGGTCTGTACATTTACTCCACTGAAGCTTACTGTCCAAAAAGACACCCAGATATTTATATTCCTCTACAATTTCTATATTCTGGCCTCTGATAGATGTTGCAGAGGTAGGTGTTGTACGCTTCCTGAAGTCTATGCACATCTCTTTGGTCTTGTTAGTATTGAGGACCAAGTGTGATTCCTCACACCACTCTACAAAGTCATCTAGGACCGGGCCATGATGTTCCTCGTCATCATGCAACAGGCTGATCAAGGCAGTGTCATCAGCGAACTTAACGAGGTGTCTGTCAGTATGGGAACTAGTACAACTATTAGTGTACAAGATGTACAGAAGTGGGGACAAAACACATCCCTGAGGAGAGCCTGTGTTGGTATTGCGTATATCCGACACATGGGGACCTATTTTGACTCGCTGTGAGCGTTGGCTCAGGAAGTCCAACAGCCACAAAACCAGCCCCCCATCTAAGGAAAAGTCCCGAATGAGTCTCTGTGCCAGAATGTAAGGCTGGATTGTGTTGAAGGCAGAAGAAAAGTCAACAAACAGAACCCTGACATGGGATTTGGCACCTTCTAGATGTCTATAGACCATGTTAAGGAGGGTAAGAATGGCATCATCAACTCCTCTGCTGGTCTGATAGGCAAACTGAAATGGGTCGAGGAGCTTCTGGGTGACACTGAGAATATGACTTTTCACAATTTTCTCAAGGCATTTCATAACTAAGGATGTCAAAGCGACAGGGCGATAGTCATTCAGCACAGAGGGATTTGATACTTTAGGAATTGGTATAATTATTGATTTTTTCCACAATACTGGAACGTGTTGCTGGTTGAGTGAGGATTGGAAAATGTCTGTAAAAACACCAGCCAGTTGTTCAGCACAGTGCTTTAACACATGCCCACTTATTTTGTCTGGGCCTGGGCTTTTGTATGTGTTACATCCCCTGAACAACTTTAGAACATCAGACTGTTGAACAACAACTCTCTCAAACATTTGTAATGATGCTTCCATTTGTTTTACCTCCGACACAAAGTTGTCTGATTCAAATCTTGAGAAGAAAACATTCAGTTCATTAGCCATGTTCTGGCCCTCATATCCCCCAAGGTCAGCACTGGTTTTTCCCCTGCCTATATGGGGGGCACTAGCCATGGATTTAATCCCTTGCCAGGCCACCCTTGCGTTTCCTGAGGAGAGGGTCCTCTCCACCCTTTGCTTGTATGCCTCCTTGTCCACCAGTATCTGTCTTTTTATCTCACGTTGTACATCTCTTAGGCCTGTCTATCACCCCCAGCATAAACTGCCTTCTTCCTATCAAGGGCTAGGGTCTAGGCTAGGGTCTAGGGTGTAGGGCTAGGGGTAAGGGCTAGGGTAGGGTTGTGTAGGGGCTAGGGTGTAGGGGCTAGGGTGTAGGGGCTAGGGTGTAAGGGCTAGGGTGTAAGGGCTAGGGTGTAAGGGCTAGGGTGTAGGGGATAGGGTGTAGGGTGTAGGGGCTAGGGTGTAAGGGCTAGGGTGTAGGGGCTAGGTGTGTAGGGCTAGGGTGTAGGGGATAGGGTGTAGGGGATAGGGTGTTAGGGGATAGGGTGTGTAGGGATAGGGTGTTGTAGGGGTAGGTGTAGGGGTAGGGTGGTAGGGTGTAGGGTGTAGGGGGTAGGGGTGTAGGGGCTAGGGTGTAGGGGATAGGGGTAGGGGCTAGGGTGTAGGGGTAGGGTGTAGGGGAGGGTGTAGGGCAGGGTGTAGTAGGGCTAGGGTGTGTAGGGGCTAGGGTGTAGGGGGTAGGGTTGTAGGGCTAGGGTGTAGGGGTAGGGTGTAGGGGCTAGGGTTGTAGGGGCTAGGGTGTAAGGGCTAGGGTGTAAGGGCTAGGGTGTAAGGGGTTAGGGTGTAGGGGATAGGGTGGTAGCCTAGGGTCAAGGCTAGGGTTTAAGGGCTAGGGTGTAAGGGCTAGGGTGTAGGGGATAGGGTGTAGGGGCTAGGGTGTAGGGGATAGGGTGTAGGGGCTAGGGTGTAGGGGCTAGGGTGTAGGGGCTAGGGTGTAGGGGCTAGGGTGTAGGGATAGGGTTTGTAGGGGCTAGGGTGTAAGGGTAGGGGTGTGTAGGGGCTAGGGTGTAGGGGTTAGGTCTAGGGCTAGGGTGCTAGGGGCTAGGGTGTAGGGGCTAAGGTGTAGGGGATAGGGTGTAGGGGCTAGGGTGTAGGGGCTAGGGTTAGGGGTTAGGGTGTAGGGTTAGGGTAGGCTAGGGTCTAGGGCTAGGGTTGTAGGGCTAAGGTGTAAGGGCTAGGGTGGTAGGGCTAGGGTGTAGGGGCTAGGTTGTAAGGGCTAGGGTGTAAAGGGCTAGGTGGTAGGGGCTAGGGTGTAAGGGCTAGGGTGTAGGGGTTAGGGTGGTAGGGGATAGGGTGTAGCCTAGGGTCAAGGCTAGGGTTTAAGGGCTAGGGTGTAAGGGCTAGGGTGTAGGGGCTAGGGTGTAGGGTGTAAGGGCTAGGGGTGTAAGGGCTAGGGTGTAGGGGCTAGGTGTAGGGGCTAGGGTGTAGGGGATAGGGTGTAGGGGTTAGGGTGTAGGCTAGGGTCAAGGCTAGGGTTTAGGGGCTAGGGTGTAGGGGCTAAGGTGTAAGGGCTAGGGTGTAGGGGATAGGGTGTAGGGGATAGGGTGTAGGGGTTAGGGTCTAGGCTAGGGTCTAGGGCCTAGGGTGTAGGGGCTAAGGTGTAAGGGCTAGGGTGTAAGGGCTAGGGTGTAGGGGCTAGGTTGTAAGGGCTAGGGTGTAAGGGTGTAGGGGCTAGGGTGTAAGGGCTAGGGTGTAAGGGCTAGGGTGTAGGGGTTAGGGTGTAGGGGATAGGGTGTAGCCTAGGGTCAAGGCTAGGGTTTAAGGGCTAGGGTGTAAGGGCTAGGGTGTAGGGGCTAGGGTGTAGGGTGTAAGGGCTAGGGTGTAAGGGCTAGGGTGTAGGGGCTAGGGTGTAGGGGCTAGGGTGTAGGGGATAGGGTGTAGGGGTTAGGGTGTAGGCTAGGGTCAAGGCTAGGGTTTAGGGGCTAGGGTGTAGGGGCTAAGGTGTAAGGGCTAGGGTGTAGGGGATAGGGTGTAGGGGATAGGGTGTAGGAGTTAGGGTGTAGGGTGTAGGGTGTAGGGTGTAGGGGATAGGGTGTAGGGGATAGGGTGTAGGGGATAGGGTGTAGGGGATAGGGTGTAGGGGATAGGGTGTAGGGGATAGGGTGTAGGGGTTAGGGTGTAGGCTAGGGTCAAGGCTAGGGTTTAGGGGCTAGGGTGTAGGGGCTAAGGTGTAAGGGCTAGGGTGTAGGGGATAGGGTGTAGGGGATAGGGTGTAGGGGATAGGGTGTAGGGGCTATGGTGTAGGGGATATGGTGTAGGGGATAGGGTGTAGGGGCTAGGGTGTAGGGGCTAGTCCTACCTCCACTACTGTTCCACAGGTCTTGAGGCTGAAGCTGAGATTGATGTGTGTTCCGTTGGAGACGCCGCGGCACGAGGAGTTGGACAGGAAGAGTTCCAGACCCCCCACCAGGTCCCTGGGAACCGACACCTCAATGGAGCTGCTGCTACACTGCACCGGGACTGGACACATAAACATGAGTTGGACAGGAAGAGTTCCAGGCCCCTTCCTAGGTCCTGCTGCCACACTCCAGATGACCATAAAGGTGAAGACTTTCACAATACAGTTACTAACTAACACTGCACAGGGACTGGAGGATACGACCAACCAAACACACTACTACACACGTTTTGTCACTAATACACATGCAAATGCATACCGTGCCACCTCACCCACACACACTCTCTCGTCTCACCCTGGCATGTGCGTCTGTCGTCGCCCAGCTCCAGTCCTCGGGGACAGTGACAGTGATAAGACTCCTGTAGTACAGAGCAACCATGGCTACAGCCTCCATTGTTGTTGAAACACCCTGCTATCTCTACAGGGAGAGGGAGGAAGAGGAGGAGGAGGAGGGGAGAAGGAGGTATAAAGGACAGGAAGGGGGAGGCGGGGGGGGGGGAGAAAATAACACTTTGGATGGAGTTTGCACTTTTGGAACTATTCCATTGGTTCCATTTTGTCAGGCAATCTCAATATAATGAAAGATAACAAATGCTATTTGAACCCAGGTTTGACACCCAGCTACTGGCCTTACTGTGTACCAGATATTACACACCGAGCATTATGGGTACTGTAGTACATTGTGCTACTGTACTTTTACACGCTCCCTCCCTCCCTTCGCTCACTCACTCAGACACTCTCTCCCACCCACCCACCCACCCACCCACAACACACCCACCCACCCACCCACCCACCCACAACACACCCACCCACCCACCCACCCACGGTGGTCTGACTCTACCTTTGCAGTTGCGTCCGTCCTCCTCCAGTACCCTGCCTGGTCCACACCCACACTGTCTGGACCCTTTCGTGTTCACACACACCTCCTTACAACCCCCGTTCCCCTTCTCGCACTCA